CTAAGGAACAAGAGGCAGGATAACTGGAAGCCATTTTGGAAGGCTACCTGTTCTACTTTCATATGTGCTTCCATTTGTAAAGAATGAAAAAAAAAATGACAGAAATCCTACCTTAGGTGTCTTTTGTTTGTTTGTTTTTCTGAGACAGCGCTTCTCTGTGGCTTTGGAGCCTGTCCTAGAACTACCACTTGCAGACCAGGCTGGTCTCAAACTCATAGAAATCCAGTGAGTGCTGGGATTAAAGGCGTGTACCACCACTGTCTTGTTTTTTTTTTTTTTTTAAAGACAGGGTCTTGTTATGTAAACTACATGGCCTGGACCACACCACTGTAACCTAAGTTGGTCTCCTGAGTGCTAGAATTGCAGATACTCACCAGCATGCCTAGCCATTTAACCATCAGCACATATAATCAAAGACTCCAGGTCCAGAAGACAGGCCAACGGTAATCCTTCCTCACAAGGTGCTCTTGTGTATTAAGTCTAGAGTTGGATCTCCCTAGTAGCCATTTTTAGAAGTTTTTGTGGCATAGACTCAATCATGCTCATGTCTAAAGTTTTTCTCACTTGATTGACAGCTCCTTTGTTAGAAATGTTAATTTGTGTCTAACATTTTCCATCAATGGGAAAGACTTCAAAATACCACTTTCAAAACAAAATTTGAGAATAGAACTCAGACTTCTCTACACTAAATTCAAATAATGGTACTTTGATGCCTGTCTTGCTCCAGGTAGAAACAGATGTTCGGAGTGTCCCAGGTAACTCACAGTGGTGCTTGGGATTGAAGTTACTAATGAAGCCCTTTTCTGAGTGGGCTCCGTGCTTTCTTTGAATAGATGCTAGAGTTTAGTCTGCTCCTCTCTGCCAAGTTTCTCCTGCTTATCCACTCGAACAACTCTCACTGAAAATCACAGGATTAATAATTACACTCTACGCTCATGAAACCCTGTTTGTATCACTGTCATTTTCTCTATTTAGTGCGTTTTCCCAGGAAAATGACAAAGCAACTTCACAAATGCATCAGGCTAGGATTTTAAATTTAGATAATGCAGTTTCCTCTTGCAGGGCTGTGTGACTCACCTCCACCTCCTGGGGCCCAACCTGCTGCTGTGGCTTAGGCCAGCTCCCCTGCCCGAGCCTCATACTTCTTCCCTCCCTTCCCTTGTGCTAGGGACAGAGCGATCACCCAAACCGAAGGCAACGAAGATTGCAGGCCAGTCACATATGACTGTTGAGCTCCCCCTCTGAACTGGTGACCCCTGGGGCTGGCAGGCTTTCCAACCCTCCAGGTATCCTGCTCGGCTCCATTTGGGGAGAGCAACCTTGCCTCCCTGCCCAGAGCAAAGAGACACAGCAGGCACTCACTGCCTTGATTATCCAACCTAGGGCTCTGAATAGATACCTGGTGTATGCCAAATAAGTGGTAATGGATGTATATTCCTGGGTCTCATTTCTCCCACAGAATTCCTGATAAGGGCTGGGAGGTGATGGCTCGCCTTTAATCCCAGCACTCAGGAGTTAGAGGCAGTGGATCTCTGTGAGTTTGGACGCAGCCTGGTCTACAGAGTGAGTTCCAGGACAGGCTCCAAAGCTGCACAGAGAAAACCTTGTCTCAAAACAAAACAAAAACCTTTCAACGGCAATTTAGAGAAGGAAGGTTTTATTTTAGCTCATAATTTAAAGGCACAGTCCGTCATGGTGGGGGAAGCGTGGCAGGGACAGCAGCTCTGGCTGAGGTGTCGGGAGTGAGGTCACATCAAGGGAGACGCTGATACTCAGCTCCCTCTGTCTTTTGTCCTATCTGTTACGCTGCTTGGGACCCCAGGCTATGGAATGGTGCCACTGACATTCATGGTGAGTCTTCCATTTGCAGTTGAACCATCATCGGTGCAGGCGCCCGCAGAATGGATAGCGATGGGGATTAAATGAGTAGGCTTGAGACCCCAGCTTCTTTTTTACTATTGTTCTTTAAAAAAAAAAAAAGATTATTGATGGGAGATGTTATTCTGTAAATATGTTTCTTATTGGTTAATGAATAAAGCACTGTTGGCAAATAGGAAGGCAAGATGGGCGGGACTGGGAGACTAGGATGATTCTGGGAGATGTAGGAGAGTCAAGATGTAGGTACTTGAGAGAAGAGGTCTGGACCCTCTCTCTGGTAAGATAAGACCACATGGAAACACTTAGATTAGTAGAAATGTGTTAATATTTAAGACAGGGCTAGTCAATAAGAAATGCTACTAACAGGCCAACAGTTTTACAACCAATACAGCGTCTCTGTGTGTCATTTGGGGCTGTGGGACCAGGCTGGTGGAAAAAGTGCTGGTAACAATTTATTTGTTTTCATTCCACGAGTATGGATGTTTGCATGCACGAATGTTTGTGCACTACATGCGTGCCTGGTCGGATGGACTATGGGTCCCCTGGAACTAGACGGTTGTGAGCTGCTATGTGGTCACTGGGAACCAAACCCAGCTCCTCTGCAAGAGTGGCAACTGCTTCTAATCACTGAGCCATCTCTCCAGCCCCACTTCACTACGATTGTGTCAGGGTAGCAGGCCCCCCTAATCCACATTCTAAGTGCGCAAAGACCAGAAGAGGGGCTTCTGGAGGTACTTGGAAAGGAGCACACACCTCGGAGATGGACAACGGTGACAGAGGCATTGTGGTGGCAGACAGTGAGTGGGGCTCTCCCTCACAGCAATAATGAGTGCGGTGGAGAACCTATGAGGCCAATCTGTCTGCAGAGGAAGAAGCAGACCAAGAAGCAGACCAGGCACGTTAGAAACAGCCCCAGACTCTGCCAGCCATGCAGGATCAACGCTGCTTCCTTCCTCTCGGGCTAGCACGCTCCATGGTTCCTGATTCCCTGAGTAGAGCCCGTGTGAGAGACAAAGATGGTAAGGTAACTTGTTACACACATTGGTGGGGAGGAACCAAAGCTCAGAAACTACTTTTCAGAAATCTTGATGGGAATGAAGTTTTGAAAGCTTGTAATCCCAGGACTTGAGGGGAAGCAGGGTGATCGATCAGCAGCTCGAAGTCCTCCTTGGCTGTATAGCAAGTTCAAGGCCAGCCTGGACTACAGTATCAGACCCTGCCCCAGAAATGACACAAAACAACAAAAATATGTCTAAGGAGTGCCTTGTGCTAGAAGCTCCATAACTCATCTTTTTCTAAACTCCTCTGTCTGGCCAGCTCTAGCTAGAGGCTTTTCATCCCCAGGAAGCTTCTGCCACTTGAGTTTAAGACATTTTTATTATTATTATTATTATTATATTTTATTTTATTTTATTTTATATAACAAAGTCCAATTAAATGAAAACAAACATTTATACACAATATTTGGAAATTTGGGCGTCGTTCTTTCCAAACTACTTCCTGCTGGTAAGGGGCGCTGTCATGGGGGATTCGAAGAAGATTCAGAAATCCTGGCGAGTTTAAGACATTCTTGCTGTGTTGTTTAGGCTGGATCTGAACAACCCATCTGCTTCAGTCTCCCAAGTAGCTGGAACTCCAGGGACACACCGCTAACACGTTGACTCTGCCCATTTTAAAGTGTTTCCAGAAACCCTGGGTATCCAGTGAGGTCAGTAAAGGGGCTGAACAATGACTGAAGTTTGCAATTAGTCTTTAAAGGGAATCTTCCAGGTTTGGAGAGATGGCTCAGTGGTTAAGAGCATTGGCTGCTCTTCCAGAGGACCCAGGTTCAATTCCTGGTATTTACATGTCAGCTCACAACTTTCTGTAACTTCAGTTCCAGGGCTTCTGACACCTACATCTAGCTGTTTGTTTGTTTGTTTTTGTTTTATTTTATTTTGTTTTTAAAGGGAATCCTCCAATACTTTGTAGTCTAAAGGATTAAGACAGAAGATGTGTCCAGGGAAGAGCACACTAATTGGTTGTCCAAATACCAAATGATCACCCCTGAAAACAAAATACAAGTAACATTATACAGACTGAGCAGGTTATATTTAGGAACATATGTGCATGCACATATACATATCCACGCGTAACAACAACTAATAAAATAGAGGCCATGGATTTGAAAGAGAGCGGAGTATATGTGAGAGGTTGGAGGGAGGAAAGGGAAGGGGGAAATGACAGAATTATAATTTCAAAAGTAAAGATAATATTTTAAAAATTGAAGATGTGTGAGCCTTCTGCTTTGCCAGGGAGGGTCGATGTTTTAGCACTGTCTGCAGGGCCTGTCCTAATCCTCGCGGACAGGTTTGATGGGGCCTGACCATCTCAGACTCGGGTATAGTGCCCTCCCTTGTCCAGTAGGGTTTTTACCCAGCTCTGGAAGATAGCCAATAGTGCCGACAGCTTTCTCTCTCATGGGGGAGGTCGTCCAGGTGGAGGGTGTCCAAGGAAAGGATGCTTTCCCCAAGTGCAGTGTGTGTGTGTGTGTGTGTGTGTGTGTGTGTGTGTGTGTGTGTCCAAGGAAAGGATGCTTTCCCCAAGTGCAGTGTGTGTGTGTGTGTGTGTGTGTGTGTGTGTGTCCAAGGAAAGGATGCTTTCCCCAAGTGCAGTGTGTGTGTGTGTGTGTGTGTGTGTGTGTGTGTGTGTGTGTGTGGTGGGGCTGTACCCTGACAGAGGAGAGGATGGCTTCAGGGACGCCCCATGTCTAGGCAACCCAGGCCTGAGACCCCTCACAAACCGCCCAAGCAAGCACCGCCTCAAGGATGAGATTTTGGACTACCTGTCGGACAAAGTCCACCAAGTCTTGCGCCCTGGTGGCTTGTGCTCCTCGCAGACACGTGGACGAACGAACCTGTTTGTTGACAGCAAGGGCAGCAGTCTGGGTCGCCTGACTCCTGGAGGGCAATGGAGAGGACAGGACTCACGCTCGAGGCTTAGGGAGCGCACTGGAGCGACCACAGGGTGTTTTGGGGGCGCGCAGAAGCCTCCCGGGTGCGGCGGGGCGCGCAAGCGGGGGTGGGACTGGAGTTCGGGGCGGGGCGGGGCGGGGCGGGCTCGGCGATCCGTCCTCCCCTCGCGCCCGCGCCACTCTCCTTCGCGCTCCCGCCCTTCTGGTGCCGCCGCGCGGCCACAGGCAAAGCAACTTTGCTCGCGCCGGGGCTGGCCGGACCTGTCCCGCGCAGAGCCCGCAAGGCCATGGACGTGTTGGGTTGGCTGCTGCCGCCGCTCCTGCTGCTGGGCGCGCAGCCGCATCACGGCGCCAGGTGAGCGGATCCCGGTGCCGGGGAAGATGTGGGGCAGGAGGGACTTGTCCTTTGGCGGGCGCCCTCGGCGGGGCAGAGTTCGGAGTTGTCAGGACCCCGAGTCTTCACCCCCAGGTCCACCCAGGTCTGCTTTGCGCGAGCTGTCCTCCCAGTTCTGAGGACCCCGCCGACCTCTTTCTGATGCCCGGGTGCTGTCCGTCGTCCCCGGTGCTGAACGCTGCGCTGCGCTGCGGGGCGGGATTGGAGCCTCTGGGCCAGGTTAATATGGACAGCTCTCCCCATCCTTGGCCTTGACCTCTTGTCACTGAGCTGGTTCCTGCCCCGTTGGTGCTCTTTCAGGTGCCGAGAGAAATGAAGCTCAGCAGGATAAGCTGGAGGCAAAAAGAAGGGAAGGACTCGAGAATGGGGGGGGAGGGGCAATAGGGGGCAGGTCTGCCCTTGAGAGAGTCGGGAGACATGACCATCCGTTGTCTGTGGCTTGGATGGACACCTTAGGAAGGTTTGCTCCAACCCTGTCGGCAGGGAGGAGGAGACTGTAGGACCCCTTTCAAGAGTCATTTCAGAGTTTACTGACTGCAGGTGAATGGCATCCAAGTAGTCCCGTAGCATGGAAGGTGATTGGCTATATTCTGGGGGAAGAAGGAGGACTGTTTCCCCAGAGTGAGAAGGGTCTGAGAAGGGAGGCCTTTGACTGGATTCCCTCTCAGTAGCCTCCAACACCCCACAGTCTCTGCCTTCTCTCTGTGTGCTCTGGAGCCTAAAACCCAACCGAGATCACCTTGGTCATCCTGGACAGAGCCAGCCACCATGAGAATCATAAGTAAAGGTCCCTTGTGAAAACCACTTGGAGAAGAGGCAACAAATAATTGAAACAGGTCCCTTGTGCTCTGGACTTGGCTAACTGACTGATGGGCATGGAAGAGGGTTGGACAACAGGTACGGCTACATACCGGCTGTATTTTGGCCATAGATATCCAGGAAGCAGATCCTGCAGTTGGCTGAGTTTCTCTGCTGGCTGGTGGGGGACAGGCCCAGAAGGCCTAGGTCTGGCTACAAATGTTATAACTAGGTTGGAGACCAGAGAATGGGCACTTACCGCGAGCCTCTGATTAGCCGGTGTCCTGGAAAGGGGCCTTTGTTCCTTCTTTAGTCCCTGTGGGCTTTACTTCCCTTCTTTTCAAAAAGGTGGGTGAGGCAAAGCATCACAGCTTTGGTTGTCATGTTTGAGGCTCTGGGGCCCTGTCCACGGCCACATGGCCAAGAGTTTGAAACTCGAGAGGCTCTTACACCCCAACATTTTAGTCTGAGCATGATTCCAAAACTCTTTTGGTGGCAAACCCTGTCCTGTGCTGACACGAAGCTCATTTTGTGTCTATTTATTCTATTTACAGGACCTATTTATAGGTTGCTTGCTGGGAAACTCTCCAGACCCCTCCCTCACATCCACATGCATAGCCCATCCCCTTCCTCAAATTTAAAAAGCAAAACAAGACACACACACACACAAAAAAAAAATTCTAAACCCTGGCTCGTGTGAAGCCTTCTGAGGTGTTGGGGGGGGGGGCTGTGTACTTGTTTTCTTGTGCAGAAAGGCCCAGGGACTCAAGCCTGAGACTTGTCATTATCCTGACCTCACATGGAACAGCACCATGTAAAGTGGAGGGTGCCACCGCTCCGCTGAACGTTCATCTCATCCTCTAATCCGAAATAGTTACTGTCTTGTCGTATTTTAAAAGTTTGTCCCAAGAAGGTTCTGCCCAGACTTCCTCTTGGCTTGGCCTGACAGTAACACAATGTGGACCAGGGTGACAGAGTTAAAAGGCCTCTCCAGGCTGGGAAGAAAGCCAAAAACATAGCTGCCAGCTCAGTCCTTCTGGTGACCTTCAGGTTTAGCAAGGTGCTGACCGTGCAGGGTTTCCCACCCTCGCCTTTTCTGGCCTTTCTGCTTCAGGCAGTTTCCCTTCTTAGTCTCCAGATTCTCCTCAGTCTCGACCTCAGTGGCCCTTTGTGGGAAAGAATGTGTGATAGGAAAAAGTGCATGTCATGTTTGTGGACTGACCTGCATATATAGTGGGCACCGAGCTTGTCAACTGCACACCCGTGTGGGTGCCCCTCCCAGGCTGCTGGCGCCTCCATCTCCCTGGCACTCAGCTCACAGTGCGATGGTCGCGATACTCTTCTTTGCCTTGGTAACTGGGATGCTAGCAAGGAGCATGCTGCTCTAAAAGTGGAGCTGTGGGATCCGTGGGCTTGTGTGTGCGCAGTGGATGCATGCTGCAGTGAGGAGCATCCGCCGCTCGGCTCAGCTGCACCCACCTTCCCTCTCTGTCTCCAGAGGCGGAGGGTGGGTTCGTTTCTCAGTGGGGGAGGAGGAGAGAGGGAGATCCCATGACACACCAGATGTAGTTCAAGAGGGCAGCTAATGTGTTTTCAGTGTGTCCTCTCTGCCCAAGACTTTGAATCTCTAAGCCAAAGCCTGATATGTGTCTATGAGTCTCTCTGTCCATCTATTCAAATAATATCCCAATCTCAGGCTTCCAAAGGTCTCCAAGCTGGGAGAGCCAGCAGCCCACTGCCAAGATAGCTGTGATATGCTAGTAAGGACAGAGACCTTTTCACCCTGTGTTATATTCCTTGAGTGAAGAACATGTGTACTCCTTGCCCATTACCATGCCTGCTCTGTGAAGCCTGTCATGAGCCTGTGAATAAGAGCAGAGCTGTAGGAACTGTGAGCTTCACATCCCAGAATCTGGCTTGTAGATGAGCCTCCCTCACACCCCAGTCCTCTGTACTTATGCACAGCTGGAAAAAAAAATGGGAGCCATTCTCCAAGCAGACACACTGGAGTGAGTGGTCTCCTCTCTTCTTGCCCCTAGAATATGGTTCAGTGATTTGGCTCTGCCAGTTCAAGGTGCTCTTTCTGAAGGCTTACTTTCATGTTCTAAGCAGACCTTGGAAAAAGGTAGAGGAGAAGTATGAACATATGGCCACTGCCCTGAGACAAGGCTAGGAAGGACAGTGTCTCCTGATGGCCTCATTCCACACACTGGCTAGATGACAGCTGGGTAGTCCAAAAATAAAGCCCATTTTGAGTCCCTTCACATCTGGCCTTCAGGATGACTTCTATTTGCATTCCTAATTGTACTTTTCGAGAGACTACGGGCTTAATTTAACTGTCTCATAGCTTGTAACCATGTTGTCTCATTCCCAGCTCCATCTATCACCCTAGGGGGCTGCTGGGCAGCAATCTCCCTCTGTTTGGAATAAACAATGGACCCAGACACCTTTTCTTGCCCATCATCATGGGTTAAAGTAGTAGATCAGAGATTTGGAAAATGTTGTTAGTTAGAAATCTTGATACCCACCCAACCTTGTCAAAGTCTGGTATATGAAACAGTTAAAAGAAATATGCGATGGAACATGGAGGCTTGGACCATCTACCACTGGTGCCTCCCCCAACTTGGGAAGACTTTAGGGTAAATAAAGTCACAGGAGCATGGTCTTACCATGTGCAGAGAATGGCAAAGCTCTGTCTGGCTTCCCAGGCGACTTTGGTTCTAGCAGAACTGTGTAGGGTTTTGTTGTTGTTATTGTTCCTCCCTCCCCATTTTGGTTCTTTGGAACATGAACTCATATAGTGCAATCTGGCCTTGAACTCACTGTATATCTGAGGCTGGCCTTAAATCCCTGATCCTCCTACCCCCACCTCTCTGAGATCATAGGCCCCTATGCTTGTGCCCCTACGCTTGACAGAACTGTGTGTGTAAAATGCAAATTAACAGAGACCTGCAGTTCAGAATCACTGCCCTGACTCCGGATTGAGGCCTTTCCTGTCTCTGCTTTGCCATGGCCTCTAGTCGTGTTCTTTTCACAATCCAGAACCTTCTCTGCCCTGTTGTCACTTTCTCCAGGAGGCTGTCTCTCTGTGTAGCCTCCCCCACTTGTAAAATGCATTATTCCTAACACCGCTTGCATTGTCTCTTCCCATGAGACTGGACCCTCTACCTAACCTGGGCTGGGACTAGCTGTCTGTGGCTCAGCCCTAGAGAGGAGTTGCTTGATGGTCTGGAGAGATGGCTCGGTTGGTAAAGTCCTTGGCAGACAAACAGGAGGTCCTGAGTTTGGACCCTGACACATAAGAATGCTGGGTAGTGGTGGCTTATTCCAGAAATGTGAAGGTACAAACAGGACCTCTCAGGCCACCAGGCCCTAGGTCGCCAGTGTACCTTACTAGGTGTCTCCCAGGTTGCTCACATAGAGAAGCAGGCAATGCAAAGAGGAGACCCAGGCATTCGGTACCTAGGAGGGCTGCAGTGGCCTGGCCGGGTGAACCCGGCAAGAGGCCTCATCTCTGGTAGTGCCAGGTAGGACTGGCTCAGACCGCCTCCACCATCCCAGAGCAAGGAAGTAGTTACTCTCCTGTCCCTGAAATAGGCGGTCAGAGTAGCAAGAGGTTCACTGAGAGACTGGCCTTTATTCCCTTTAAGGAGAGCCGTGGGTTTTTTTTTTTTTTTTTTTTGTCTTCTTGAAGGAAGGAATTCTGTCAAGAGAGGCAGACATTTTAAGTAGAAGTTTATTTAGCGAAGCAAGCACTGGAAAAGGGACTGGAGTGGGCTGCACAAAGGCAAAGAGCGGCTCAGTGGTTCTGCATTGTGGGTTTTAAAGATGTTTTTATGAAATTTATGAGGTGGGCAATATATTCATGGGGGTATGATAACACTTTGCCCCTCCCAAATCATGGTGGACAGGATCATCCTCTTAGGATAGTTCTTCTCATGAGTAGCACAAGAAGGGATGTGTCAGCGTTATAATGCAAGAGATATAATGGCGACACCGGGTCTTTTAAGTTAGTGCCAATGTGTGGGAGAATGTCCTGGTGCTTTGGCTTCTGATATCCGGTGAACAACCTCGATGAAGCTTCAAGGGTTTTTAACCACGAAGGGGTATTCTGACCCAGCAGACACAGTTACCAAGAAGCAGCGATGCAGCTGCCTTTTCCTGTTACCTCAAGTCTAACTCCTTGCCTACCCAGTATCATTCCACTTGGGTTTTTTGTTTGTTTGTTTTAGGAGAGTCCTCCTCCTTCGTGGTGGACCATTCCCCCGTAGGCAGGAGCATAGCGTGCATTAGCATCTTAGGCTGCCACAACACATTACATAACCTGGGCGGCTTCGAACAACAGAAATTTTTCCTTTTGTGCTTCTGAAGGCCAGAAATCCCAAACCCTCCAGAAGGTCTATGAGGACAGTTGCCCTGGGCTTCCCTCCTGCTTCTAGTGGTAGCCAGTAATACTCGGTACCCCTCATCTTGTGGGGGTACCACCAGCCGCTCCTTCGTCTCCGCCTTTTCATCTCTGCCACCTGCTTTCTACTAAGGGGCTTTCTACTCTGATGTGGCCTTATCCTAATTATACTCACAAAGACCTTATTCTGAGATAATGTCCCATCCTGAGGTTCCAGGTGGAAATGACGGCTGGGAACATGAGAAAGATTAGGGGATTCAGTTCCAGCAGAAACAAGTATGGAGAAGCTGCTTAGGGGTCCATGCTCTGGCAGTGTCTGGGTTGGTGGCAGGGTGGGTCCTCATGTGTGCCCCATAGTTTTGGATCCATTGAAGGGAGGTCTACACTGTTACCTCAGCAACCGAGGAGTTCCCCTACGCTTTTAGAGACCTCAATTCAGACCTAACTGGTGTTTGTGGCTTCAGCACAGGGGGGAAAAATCAGCACTAGCCAGTTTATTAAGTAGAGATGGAGATGGTAGGTATTTATTTATTTAGAGACAAGGTCTCATTATATAGCTCTGGCTGGCGTGGTACTCACTGTATAAACCAGTTTAGATTTTCTGAACTCATAGGTATCTGCCTGCCTCTGCCTCTGCCTCTGCCTCTGCCTCTGCCTCTGCCTCCCAAGTGTTGGAATTACAAGGCCAGATTTTATTATCAATATGTTAATATTAACATGAAGATTAAGAGAAGGAAAATCACTCAGAAAGAAGACCACAACTAGTGTGTGGGAGGAAAAGTAAAATGTACATCGTCTCAAGGGAGAATCTCAATTAATTAGCATTAGCCATAAATACCTTTTTGTGTGCATGTGGCTTTCGGGTTGCATCTCAAAAGGTTGCTAAGAAGTCTTTTTTCTTTCCCTTTTTCTCTCTTGGCAAGTGAAATTACAGGGTGGCTCAGGCAATACCCAGGATTATAAACTGGTAAGGTAAAACCAGAAGTTTAGGACATGACCTTTTCCTGTAAATTCAGTTTCTGGTGAGATTCCTAGAGGACTGGAAATTTACTGCCGAAAAGAAAAAATACCTCAAGCAGTTGTTAATGGTGTGGAATTCTCGCTTCTCTGCTGCTGCTGCCGAGAAGCTTCGACTGGATCCCAGAGCAAGTGGGATCCTCTCTCTTCCCCTGGTTCCCATGATTCCCCCTGCTTTTCTGTCTTACCTGGTAGTTTTGCTGGGAGCAGCAAGGCCTGCCTGTGCAGGCTGTTGTATTCACCTGCCACAGCTGCTCCAGCATCAGGCTGAGCCCTAGACATGCATGGCCACCTGGTGGGGTGGCGGTTGGGGGATTGGGAGGTAGGTGTGGGGGGTGCGCGGAGGGGGGTCGGGCGGCTCTTGAGAGGATATCCCTTACCTGAATTCCTCTGCACCTCTTATGCCTCTTTCTCTCAAGTCATATCCAGGGAATCTTTGCTGACAGGAAGGCCATGGCTCCTGTTGGGTTGGGGTCCTCTGCTTTGGGGACAAGCCCTGCGGGTTCAGACATAGGTGAATGCTTGCTAAGCTTTTGATTTTCCTCCATGAACATGTGGAAGGGAACTGGGCAGGTCCTCAAGGGAGCCTGGGAACCCTGTCTATGCCCTGAGGTGGGGACAGGAAGGTCCACGATGCTGAAAGGTAGCAGAAGTGTGGAGTACCTCTGTGTTGTTCTGTATCTTGTCTAAAGGGCCGGGAGAGGCTGGTGCCTGCTCTTCCTTGGCATATGTGCTGAGGACAGTGTTCCACCCCAGTCCCGGTGCTCTGCCTGCTGTGACCATGGCTTTGTGTTCCCAGAGCAATGAATGACATTGGGGACTACGTGGGCTCCAACCTGGAGATATCCTGGCTCCCTAACCTGGATGGCCTAATGGAGGGCTATGCCCGGAACTTCAGACCAGGCATTGGCGGTACGGGCGACTGATGGGGGCAGGGGCATGGGCAGGCAGGAACAGCTCCAACCTTGGTTTTGCTGTTATGTGTGGGTTCTGCTGGGCTCTGGTTCGCCAACAACGGGGGTTCATTGGATTTCAAGCCCCGGTCATTCCAGATGGAAGAGCAATCTCCCCAGGCACGGTGGCAAAGGTATACCAACTCCAAGTTCCTGGAAAAGGCCTCAACTATTCCTCCATCCTGTCTGTCTGGGCTGGCTTCCAAGGGGTGCTGGGCAGCTGTTTCTACAACAATAGCTTTAGCCCCTGCTTCTCACAGGTCCCCCGGTGAACGTGGCACTTGCCCTAGAGGTAGCCAGCATTGACCACATCTCAGAGGCAAACATGGTAGGTGCCAGGCAATACTGCTCGCTGGGCTGTGTGCCACTAGGAGGACAGCAAGGGATGACAATTTCAGTGCTGCCCTTTCTCTACAGGAATATACCATGACAGTGTTCCTGCACCAGAGCTGGCGGGACAGCAGGCTCTCCTATAACCACACCAACGAGACCCTTGGCCTGGACAGCCGCTTTGTGGACAAGCTGTGGCTTCCTGACACCTTCATTGTGAATGCCAAGTCTGCCTGGTTCCATGATGTGACTGTGGAAAACAAGCTTATCCGCCTACAGCCTGACGGCGTGATCTTATATAGCATCCGGTGAGCTGGGCCTGCCTTCCCCTGCTGCTCAGGCACAGGTCCTGGTTCCTCTAGGACACAGAGGCATGCATGGCAGGCTGCGATGCTCATTGTACCCCCCCCCCCCAGCTTCCAGAGGCTGCTTAGCTGACATTAGCTCCAGATGCTTCAGGAGGCAGACAGATGTTTTTCAAACGAGGTTAAATCCACGTCATATTTATTCACCATTTAAAAGGAACATTGTAGCACAGTCAGCCCGGCATTCAATTGCTCCAAAAGAAGGACCACTTGCTGGGGCGCCAACACACCTATCCATCAAGCAGTCGCACTTCGGGTTTGCGAGTGTGCGTGCTGTGGCACACGGGCGAAGGTCAAAGGACAACTTGTGGGTCCCAGGGGTCAAACTCAGGTTGTCAGTAGTGGCAAGTGCCTTTCTTTACCTGCTGAGCCTTCTTATCAGTCACTCGGATTTTGAGACTCGGTCTCGGGAAGCTCAGGCTGACTTTGAACTACTGACCATATAACCAAGGCTGGCCTTGAACTCCTGGTTCTCCTGCCCCTTACCTTTCATGTGCTGAGATTATTGCTGTGCATCACACATGCAGAGCCTGAAGACCCTCACAGATTTGCCTTCTGTGGATATTTCATGGAAGTAGATAGATCAGCATGACATGTGGCCTGCTTTGTCTGGCTTCTTTTAGTATTGTGTCTTCAAGGTTCATCTGTGTTGTAACATGTTCACGCTTTACTCCCTTCCAGGGCTGGATAGCATCCCACTGCATGGATGGACAACATTGTCCTTCCCCCTCTCTGGTGATGGACAAACTGCTCCTACCTTTGGGCTCCTGTGACTTACACATATATGCACACATTTGAACACCTATTTTCAAACAGATGCCTTTATAAAATGAAGTTACCATTACTTAATTTAAAAAAAAATCAAGGAATGTGGCGGTGCACAGCTTTAATCCATGCACTCGGGAGGCAGAGACAGGCGGATCTCTGTGAGTTCAGGGCCAGCTTGGTCTGCAAAGTGAGGTGAGCTCCAGGATAGCCAGGGCTGTTATATGGAGAAACCCTGTCTCGAAAAACAAAGACAAACAAACCAAAAAAAAAACAAAAACAAAAACAAAAACAAAAACTCAAAAAAACAAGCAAACAAACAAAGAGATTTTTACACAAGGATCTTAATGTTGGTTTCTCCTGGAAAACCAGATCATTTGATTTGGCAACAGTGAGTCCACCCCCTCACCCCCCTCCTGTAATCATCAGTGTCCCTTATATGGTGGGAGTGGGGAAGGGGGGCTGAGGCTGGCTCCTGTCTCATAAACCTGAAACTTGGACAAGCATTTTAAGGAGAATGGAATACAAATGTCTATTAAGACTGCCCTAGTTTTCAGTTTTTACCCAGATGCCAGAAGTACACTGAACAAACTCAAGAGGCAGCTGGAGCTGCATGTGGCTCCTGATGAGCAGGTGGCTCCTCTGCATGGGCGCGGGGGGGGGGGGGGGATATCTGCTGTCTATCTAGGGGCAGGGGACCTGCTGGCTTCCAAAGGGTACCACGACCTCACCAACCCACTTTGCCTATACAGCATCACCTCCACAGTGGCCTGTGACATGGACCTCGCCAAGTACCCCATGGATGAGCAGGAGTGCATGCTGGACCTGGAGAGCTGTGAGTGCCCTCCCTGAGGAGGGGTGGGCTTCTTTCTGTTTGGGGCTGCACTGGCTACTTAGGATTGTGAGGCCGTGCAGCTCAGGGCTCGGACCGGGCTGGCCTGGATCAGAGGACAGGGGAGCTTCCAAGACAGGGCTTCCCCGTGAGCCTGTAGCCTGTATAGGAGGAGAATAAGCTGGAAGGACTAAGGGAATATAGCCAGCATAGGTGAGAAAGAGCCTTGGAAATCTGGCTGTGACAACCTGGCTATCCCATCATGACAGACTTCAGATAACCCGAGCCCCTTTGCATCCTCCATCAATGATGGCTCCAATTTTGACGGCACCCCTGGCCCCATCTACCTTCTTGAAGATGCAGAGTGCTGTGCCAGAGCCAAGGACACTCCCCACTCCCTGACGGAATCTGACTGGATAAGGTCTCTGTTGCCGTCACCTGGTCAGCCCCATCCCTCAGGATCTCATGTAGATAACGACATGCTCTCTGAGGCTGCCAAGGGCTAAGCTAGACCCTGCTGCCCACCGGTGGGCTCTCTTACAGATGGCTACTCTTCTGAGGACATTGTCTATTACTGGTCAGAAAACCAGGAGCAGATCCACGGGCTGGACAGGCTGCAGCTGGCCCAGTTCACCATCACCAGTTACCGCTTCACCACGGAGTTGATGAACTTCAAATCGGGTAATGTGGGGCGGGGGTGGGGGTGGGGGTGGGGGGGCATGCCTGTGAGCTGCGTGCAGTTTTCTTGTGCTTTATAATTGCACCGCCGCCAGGCCATTCTGAGGGCTGAGGATGCGGCTGGAGAACTGCTGAGTTGGGCATTAACTGAGTGTTCCTGGCTGTGCTCAAATGGAATGGGAACACGCTGCCATGCCACACAGCCAGGTTTCTGCCTTCTTACTCCTGGATTATTTCTTCCCAGTACTCTAGGCTTAGAGACAGCATGAATGTGGGTATTATAAGAGCGGAGGCCCGTCCTTGCCGCCTCTCCCTTTAGAGCGTGCCTATGCATGCAGTGTGGCAGAAGGCACAGAGATGGCGGGCAGTTACCCTCCTATCAGCTGGACAGGTTGCTCAGAACCGATTCAACAAACTCGACCCCTTCCCGTCTCTGTGCGGGCAACCCAACATCTCTGTGGCCAGACCTAGGGCAAGGTATGGGAGGTGGGTTTTGTACGGTCTTCCATCTGAGCTTCATAGTGAGACAAACAACCGAGCCCCTCCGCGGTGTAGATGGCGGGGTGGGGGGGGGAGCTCATCTGACAGTGGGTTGTCCCCACAGCTGGCCAGTTCCCGAGGCTCAGCTTGCACTTCCAGCTTCGGAGGAACCGGGGTGTCTACATCATCCAGTCCTACATGCCCTCTGTTCTCCTGGTGGCCATGTCCTGGGTCTCCTTCTGGATTAGTCAGGCAGCAGTGCCCGCCAGGGTATCTCTAGGTATGAGGCTCACCTGTACTTCCCAAGAGCTGGTAGAAGGATTGCACAAGGTCTGGATCACCCTGCTGACCTTGAACTAATCCCTTGACCTCTAGACCTCATTCTGTCTACCTTGTGAAGCAGTGGGTAGGAATAGGGTTGGTCTCTGGAGCTTAGGGAGGGAGTAGAGGGTTGAAGAACTCCCCTCTTCCCGGGGCCCAGGCCCTGCTGGCTGGGGTGGGAAAGAGATGGTGGGGCTCCAGCCACGACCACCCCTTCCCACCAGGCATCACCACTGTGCTGACAATGACCACACTCATGGTTAGTGCCCGCTCCTCCCTGCCGCGGGCTTCGGCTATCAAGGCTCTAGATGTGTATTTCTGGATCTGTTACGTCTTTGTGTTTGCTGCCTTGGTGGAGTACGCATTCGCCCACTTCAACGCAGACTACAGGAAGAAACGAAAGGCCAAGGTCAAGGTTACAAAGCCAAGGACAGAGGTGAGAGGTTGTGTGGGCTAGTCTCGGGGTTCAGAATCAAGGATGGGGGGAGCGAGGACGGAGTCCTACTGGGCACAAGAGAGCAGAAGGAACTTCTCTCCGGCTGGCCAGCTCTGAGAAGATCACGTCTGACCCCTGAGTCCCTGCCCTGGGACAGGTTCCTCAGCACAGTCCTCCTGTCTCCCGCCTTACCCTCTGCAGATGGACGTGAGGAATGCCATTGTCCTCTTCTCCCTCTCGGCTGCTGGGGTCAGCCAGGAGCTGGCCATCTCCCGTCGCCAGGGCCGTATCTCTGGGAACCTCATGGGCTCCTATAGGTCTGTGGAATTGGAGGAGAAGAAAGAGGGGGCGTCCCGCCCAGGGGGCCCAGGAGGCATCCGTTCCAGACTCAAACCCATCGACGCAGACACCATCGACATCTATGCCCGAGCTGTGTTCCCTGCAGCTTTCGCAGCTGTCAACATCATCTACTGGGCAGCATATGCCATGTGACGGCAGTACACGTGCCGTTTTCACTCGCCCGCTGCTGGGGTGGTGGTTGCCAGAAAGTCCTGGAGGAACAGCCCTGTTTGTGGGTCTCAAAGTGGGTCAGAGAGGAAGCCGCAGCTTCCCGAGCTTTACTGCGGCTTCGCTTCGCTCTGAAGACCTTCTAGTGCTTCTTGCAGATGGATCAGGATGCATTTTTTTTTGCATAGAGGGCCTGACCCTGAAGCTGAGCCAGGCACTCACTGCCGGGCCCTTGGGAGCTGTGAATTTTTAGACTCAGAACGATCCTGATTTCGCTGTGGGATCAGGATCAGAGAGAAGGAGAGTGGGGGTGGATGGCTACTCTCAAGGTGAATGGGGGGAGAAGGGTACTACAAGGCCTTTTTGGTCCCAGCATGAAATAAAGCCTTGACCTGGCAGCTGGTTACTGTCTTTGTTGCACATGGCGGTTGCACTGTGGTTTTCTCTGCCTGTGTCTCTGCTGTCACAGGGCAAGATAGGAAGGATGAGGGGTTAGGGGCAGCTTAGAGAAGCTCATCATATCTAGGGTAAACATGCACGGTGTGCAGGGAAAGCGATGGGGTCGGGGTACCCCAAAGGAGGCCGACTAACCCAGGGGATTTGCAAAGGGGGAGAATCAGTATTGATGACACCAGCATGATGGTGTCCTGCCCCTGCAGTCACCGGGCTACTTCGCAGCCATTTTCACTCAGGCAGAAGCAGATCTAGGAGCATGAGTACAGAGCCCCAGATTCCAGAGCCGTGCACTTTTGAAATGCCTTCCTGAAAATCTCAGAACTGGGAACACATCTGGAGCCAGGGAAACGACCCAGAAGATGAGCTACGAGGCTGTGTCTTGAGGCATCAGTAAAGGCAGAGATGCAGGAACCTGGGGATGGATTAAGAAGTCATTACTCCCTTTATCACCCGGTGGAGGTTCAGGCCCAAGGCGCCACTATGGTGCCTTCTTGGATGAGGTAATGGGAACTCAGAGGCCACCTCGGGTCCTGCAGACATCCCTTAGCTACTTCCTGCAGCAGCCCGAGGACCTCGAAGCCACCAGAGCATGTGATAGGCAGCTCCTAATAAAGGGGTCCAGCTTTTCCACACACTGAGTCTTCCATGTAGAAGAAACAAAGGGTACAATTAGAAGGACAGCTTTTCATCATGGGTCTACTCCAGAGCCCTTCATGGTCAGCAGTTAGTAACTCAAGAGGTGACAGGATCATCCCGGCCCATTGCCCAGCGTAATCAGGGTGGTGCCAGACCATGCCACAGTAGTCCTGTGGTGCCCTTCTGGTGGGCCCCTACTCTAAACCACTCAGGAGCTTGGCAAGGGACTGTGTGAACCAGCAAGAGTGTCCGTAGCAGGACCTGGCCGCTGGCGGCCCTCCACAGTCCCAAACCATTGTAGGTCAGCGCCAGGCTCAAGAGGGACAGGGGGCTGCGCTGTCCTCGAAGTGCAGAGGAAGGCACTGGCCACACAGGAGCGCTCATTCTTTGTCTTCATCTCAATGACCCCTGACCTAAGGACTCCTCCTCCTGGGAACCTCGCTGCTTGGTGCTTGCTACAGGATGAGGTTCTGTGGGTTAACAGGCCACCCAGGGGGGTGGGGGCGCTGGGCCCTACTGTGGCCCGGAGCTGCAAAGATAGAACGGGCCTAGGGGTGGCAGACAGGGAGCTGGTGGCCAAGCAAAGACAGATCTGGGTCAGCTGGCATTCCAACTCCTGACCGCAGGGGAGGCAATGCAAACCCAGCCATCGCGGGACATCCACGGGGCAGGAATGTCCCTACTTAGGCCCAGGGGCAGAAGCTTTTCCCCATCTGCACACCTCTGCTCTGAAGTCTTCCTACATGGTCCCGGTTAGTTTCCACTTCCACAGGTTCAGACAGTGCCTGAGGATGGTGACCCAAACCCTAGATGCTGCACACTGTAGATAGTCCAAGACTACCTATTGTCATCGCTCGTCCTTAGTGCAACCTAGGTCCCACCCCACCCCCTCAGGAAAGTGGGCAGGGCCAGTTCCAGCTCTCTAGGCCTTAGGGGAGGGGCAGGTGGGTTCAGGGTTTTAGACCTGCTGAGTTCACCCGGACCCTGAGGCCAGCAGCCTAACTCCTCTCCAACTGCACAACCTGCCAGCTTCAGCACCCGCCTCTGCCCTGCCTCTCGCCGCCTGCAGTCTACCCTCTTTCTGCTGCATGTACCCACGGGGAGCTATTTAAAGCGGCCTTTGCGATTGCCTTGGGCTCCCACGCAGCCAAGCCCACCCAGGCAGCAGCCTTCGCCTGATTCTGCAGCCAGCAATCACTCCCTCCAGCCCGCAGGCTGCTATTTCTGCCCACATGTTTACAGGGCAGGCGGAAGGACTGATGCTCTTCAAACACCAGCCTCTGTTCCGGGGGTGAGGACAGGAGCTGACTGAAGGCTGTGCATGGATCAAGGGCTGCAGCTGAGAAGAGAGCCAGCTTGGAGAAAGGATGTCAGTGCCTCCTGCTTGCAGTGGCACTAGGGACAAAGGGTGATAGGCAGGAGGTTTTTTCATCCCAGCAGGGATAACCTTTCTCCGCCCCAGGCTGGAGGGCATGCGTTGAATGTGGGCTGTTCCTCCCGGAGGCTGGAGGCCAATGGAGCTAAGAGGGTCTGGATGTCAAGAGACAGAGCCCTCTGGTAGCAAGGACTAGACAAGAGCCCAGGCTTAAGGATCCAACCCCGCCCTTCTCCTACTGAGGAGGCAGACATGTAGGGTACCAAAAGGAGCCCACAGGGAGGGCTGACTTCTGAGACAAGTCTAGGGTTGGGGTATCTATTTTCTAGGGCTACAAACCTGTTCTATCAGAGCTACGGAGGCCAGAAATCCTAAAGTTAGGAGTAGGGAGGCTTGGCTCCAGGGAAGACTCTACTGTGACCTCCCTCTGCTTCCCGGCCTGCCTGCACTCCTTGGTTTTACGATTTATCACCCTGAACTCTGAGTCCATCAGCACGTGGTTAGTTTCTGTCCCTCTTTCTACACAAACACCTGCCAGTGGACGTAAGAGTTTCCACACTCGAGTATGGTTCATCTTAATCATAACCATATATCTACACAAATCCAAAGAAGCCATATTCTGAGGTTCTGGGTTTGAAGCATTCTAAGGGGAAGTCGTTCGGCTCAGTACAGATGGCAGCCCTAGAAGCAGGAGACAGGGAATATAACATAGGGGGAGGAAGGGGAAGAGGAAAAGCTGGAGTGTGCTTTATGACCCCGGGCAGTGAGCAGCAATCCCACGGGGCATCTCTCCATCATCTCTAGCCACAGCCAGTGAATGACTGCCCCCAGGACCCCAATGCTCACAAGCTGAGTGAACATCTCTGGTGTGACATCCTCACCTGCTGCTAGAGCCAGGTGCAATCTCAGGGTCACCTGCTACCCACCCCCTAATACTGCTCGCATATACTTAGGCACCACGGTAAGCCCTTCTGTGACTGACTGCACGGTGAGAGCTGTCACTGTAACAACGGCCACCAAAAACGACAGTGGAGGGCTGATGAGGTGAGCTCACTACCCCCTTAGTTACGGTAGCCCCATGGACTGAGGGATGAACCAGTCCCCTCCCTTCCTACTCTGGGGGTGCTCAACTCAAGACTTAGGCGCCTCTGATGTAGTTACTCCGGTCCTTCCAAGTGCTAGCCTTGGTCACCTTGACCATTCATCAGTCACTGGGCAACTACACACCTATGGAAGCTTGAGTAGCATGTCCTCTAACTTCCAGACCTTCTCTTCCCAGCCTCTGTGAGTCTCTCATGTCAACCCCCAAACCACAGGGACCCTGGCTTGGCTTCTTCTGCCATAGATTTTTGTTTCACAACAACAGGGCTCTGCTATTCCAAGTATACTGGGAATCAGGATATGACCCTACGGTGGACCCACAACCTCTCCGGTTGACAATGAGACAGACAAAGGCAAGGACCCCATCTGTCACTTGGCATTCTTCAGCAGCCATCATGCAGAGACAGCAAAAAATATTTTCGGTCAGCTCAGATCCTGTATCTGAAAGCCCTTTGGATTCCGGGTGACCTCTCCACAGGACACATTATTCTGGCAAAGAGCAGCTTAGAAAGGTTTTGGGGGATCCTCATCATATATGTGGGAGAGGTATTGTGTATTCCTTCTCTAAGTTGGTCAAGCCTTCTCTTCTGTTGCTGTGATAAAAGATTCGTGCAAAACCAGCTCAAGTGAGGGAATGGTGGGGGGCATTATTTTGACTCACAGTTCTGAAGGGATACAACCCATCACCACCTCAGGAGAGACTAGCAAAAGGGAAGGAAGGAATGATATCAGCAGGGGAAGCCGGCTTAGCGTACTATGTTCACAATCAGGAAGCAGGGGGCAGCTGGTTCGTGTGCTCAGCCACTTTCTACCTTTTATTCAGTTTAGCACCAGGACTGCAAGCCCAAGAAATGGTCCCACCCATGTTAAGATGGGTCTTCCCCGCAGCAGTTAATCTAACGATGATAACCCCCACCAGCATGGACCCTGGTTCTGCCAACTCTCCCTTTCACCACCAGAACTAAGTTCCACCTTATCCTAGATAGTTGGTGTGGCTATGGCATGTGGCAGAAAGAGGAAAATGATCTCTCTGGTCCCTTGGAAATCTTATCATGGGCTGAGCCTGGTGGTGGAGGCTGATAATTCCACCTATTCAGGAGGCTGAGGCAGGTGTATTCAGCCCTTATCCAGGCAGTGGTAGTGCACACTTTTAATCCCAGCACTTGGGAGAAAGAGGCAGGTGGATCTCTGAGTTTGAGGCCAGCCTGGTCTACGGAGTGAGCTCCAGGACAGCCAGAGCTATACAGAGAAACCCTGTCTTGAAACACCACACACACACACACACACACACACACACACACACACACAAGTTCAAGGCCCACTTGGCCTACAAAATGAGTTCAATACCAGTCTAAAATGTAAAAAGAGGGCAGGAGATATAACTCAGGGCAAGTGCCCTTGCCTAGTATTTGTAAAATCTTAAGGAGA